ATGTATCTTAATACATTAAGCCATGTTAAGTGTTTATGTTTTTCTACAGGAGGAAAACGCTTAACGAGAGACTTTGTGCATTGCGTTCATATTCTGCTGTTCTGTAGCCACGGATTTGCGGGTCTTGTCTTTTTCTTGCAGGACCCTGTACGTTACAGTATAAAATTAGTTTTAATCGTTTAATCACCACCACAGCTTCTTGTCTCCATTGGCAACACGCACGATTTGTGTCGATTGCAAGTGATGTCGCAGGTATCCGAGAGTGTGGCGATTGCAAGTGACATTGTAAGTTAGTTTCTTTTTTCTTGTCTTCACCACCTGGCTACTGTTGTAAAATGTTGAGAGATTCAAACAAAAAGTAATCAATAAATAGAACAAAATAAAAAATAAAAAAGAATGCAAGTGACGTCGCTAGCGGAAGCGCAAGTATCTGAGAGTACAAGTGCAAGGCTGCAGCCAGACCCTTCTCATAGAGGCGGAACTATCATCCATGTATGATTAGAAACAGTTGGTGGCGGTATGTGCCTATGGTGCGGAATACGCCAAAAAAATTCCAAAGAAGAAGAAGAAGAAGAAGCAGAAGACATCCATGTAGCAGGCGGCGGTGTGGCACAATTGTACGCTGCACTATTTACCAGAAGAAGAAGGTCATCATTCTGTCATATGGAGAATAGTTTGTTTTTATTTATGTGTACAATCATCGTTTTCCTATTAATGATATCAGATTTATCTGACAAGATTTTATAGATATAAGCAGGACGCAAAACGTAGCTCACGGTAAGTTTGGTATTTTGTCGTTTGTTCTGTGATACAATGAGCCTGTCTGTTTGCTTCTAGCCAGTCACATTGACAGCAGGTTAATCAGAGCAAAAGTACCAAATTCTGAAGCTGGAGGTTTGCATTCATTTTTTTTGTATTTGTTTCGCCTGAAATGTACAGCAGAGTGTTCAATGACATTTTTGATTAAAAAAAACAGTTTATACTAATAAAATATACTCTCTCTCTCTCGCTCTCTCTCTCAGTCTTTCTCTCTCTCTCTCTCTCTCTCTCATAAACGTATGCTTTTTTTTTTTTTATATATTCCGAGGCACAAGGATACCTTAGTCCTCATCTTTTTATGAATCAGTAAAGCATATAGTAGATAAATATTAAAATGTTTTTGACTATGTCTGAAATTTCATACAGTGTAAATTTTTTTTTTTTAGATTTTTATGAATAACAGGCATTTAATTTCTCCATAATTTTCTGCAGGTGCATACTCTGTGTGGAATAATATTTTTCCACTGTAACCCATACCTTTGTTTGTTCAAGCTGTTCTTGGTTTGTTTTTTCATTAAAATTCTCACAGAATTTGAGCTGTCAAAAAATGGAGGGGTTTATGCATCACTGTCATCGCAAGCTCCCAACCCTCCTGTCCAGGACTCTCTTCAAAGCTTTAAAGAGAAGCTACATCAGCTGTACCATCCACACTTCTCCTCTCGTCTCTGTTCCTTCCAAACCAACCATTCCACCACCACTCGTGTCTCGCCTCTTCCAGCCGTCCAACTTCCGGGAAGGTCAGGAGGGAGGAGACATGACATGCCGCAGCCAGAGACTGATGCTGCAGACAGGGCTTATCCATCCCTCCAACCCTGGCTGCTTCTATTACTTACCAGTCGCTCTGAGGTCCATGGAGAAGCTGGTTCGGCTCATTGATGAAGAGATGCATGCGATCGGAGGGCAAAAAATTGACATGCCGGCATTGTGCAGTGCAGAACTCTGGAAGAAGAGTGGCCGCTGGGAGCTTATGGGGAAAGAGATGTTCAGGTTACTTGATCGGCACAATGCTGAATACTGCCTCGGACCGACTCATGAAGAAGCAGTCACAGAGCTTTTTGCTTCCCAGACGACAATATCCTACAGGAAGCTGCCACTTCTGCTGTACCAGGTATTAAAAATGGCCTTCGCTGATGCTTATGTTAAAAATAGGGCTCAATGCTAAGGATTTTTCAGATTTAGGTTGAAATTTTTACTTGCCTAGTCAAAATTCCCACAAAAAATAAAATGAAAAAATAGTTATTGTTTTTTGACACATGTAACTAACATGTATTCTAATATATAAGGTTATGACACCAACATTTTAGATAGCATTGAAATTTCACAATTTCAATACCACAACAAAAACTACTAGCCTAACTAATATTAAGTTAATAAATTATAAAAAAACAATTAAAAAGTCAGTATTAAAATAAGAACAAATAAACAAATTACAAGCAATAGCACAAATAAATACAATAGAACCAATAAAAACATACTTGCCAAGATTGGCATTTTGACATAATTTAGTGTATATTTGTTTGTTCAAAAGCAAGAAGATGCAAAATAGTACTCAATTCGGTATTTGCATGCTGTCTGGGTAAACTTTTGTAACGATGTGGCAATTGTCCAAATGGGCCAGTAGCAATTCCGTCAACTGTCCCGAGTATCTTTCATTTAATTTTTCCTAGGCCATCAAGCAGTCCTTATTGTCAAGCCCTGACTACTGTTTTAAAGATTCTTTCGTGTAGGTCTGTTATGTATTTATGTAGATAACATGGTTATGCCTTGCAGGTAACGCGCAAATTCCGTGATGAACAGAAGCCGAAGTTTGGGCTCCTACGTGGCCGGGAATTCTACATGAAAGACATGTATTCATTTGACATTAATGAAGAGGCGGCTCTTCAAACATACCACTCTGTGTGTCAATCCTATGGACGGATATTTGACCGACTGGGCTTGAAGTGGGTGCAGGTACAAGCTGCCACCGGCAACATAGGAGGCACACTTTCTCATGAGTTTCAGCTGCCTGCAGACATTGGCGAAGACCAGTTACTTGTTTGTGGGAACTGTGGCTTCTCTGCCAACATTGAAACCATGGAACAAGGGCAGACTGAGTGCTCACAGTGCCAATCGGGCACACTGACTGAATCCAAAGGCATCGAAGTGGGGCACACTTTTTACCTCGGTGCAAAATATTCACAGGCGTTTAAGGCCCTGTTCGTTAATGCATCCAATGTGCCCGCAGTGGCTGAGATGGGGTGTTTTGGACTTGGTGTCACTCGAATACTTGCCGCTTCTATAGAGGTGATGTCATCTGAGGATGCTATTCACTGGCCTGGGTTGATCGCTCCTTATCAAGTGTGTGTCCTGCCACCTAAAAAGGGCAGCAAAGCAAATGAAGCCACACTAGTGGCTGAGAAACTGTCTCAAAGCTTGGGAAACAGTCTACCCAACTTGAGAGGAGAGGTGGTACTGGATGACAGGGTTCAGATGACCATTGGAAAACGACTGAAGGATGCAAAAGTTTTAGGATATCCATATGTGGTAGTGGTAGGACAGAAAGCTCTGGAGGATCTGCCCAGCTTTGAGGTGATTTGTCAGCAGAGTGGAGAGACCATGTTCCTTAGTAAAGAGGGCCTAGTGGATCTTTTAAGTAAAGCTGAAACTATCTAATCTATTAAAGTTTAATAAAGTTTTTGTGTACACTTTACAGGCTACTGATGTTCAGGAGAATTCAATCATAGCTTGTGTCTGTAATAAATGTTTGAGATGTGGAAATCCCTGTAATGCTATAACAAGGAAATATTGATAATAAAATGGGTTTGTTTGTAATATTTTTGTCATTTTGTTCTTGTCAATATAGAGCCACCAAGATTCACTAAGTATGATTTAATTTAGTATAATTTAAAGCATTGGTAAAAGAAAAAAACAGAGATGAACTCAGTAATGACATGTTATCAGCTAGTTAAGATAAGTGTTAAGATAAGCGCCAAATTCTTTAATGGAAAGTAGCTAAAGCCTGTTCGAAAAGTGCTTGATGTCATATGCTAATAAGCATATTTAATACATTGTCACATCAATTTTCATTCTGCCTGCTGTCAGCCCTTTACATCTGTTTGCTTCTTTTCTACTCTCTGTGCTCATATACTGTATTCTACTAGTCAAATCCCCCCCCCAAAAAGCTGTTTGCATTTACAATTGATTTATTGTTTTTTATTTTTTCGGTGCAAAATGCAAAATTTTGCACTCAGTTTGTCCAAAAAGTCGCTAGATTTTTCATTGCTAAAAGGGTTTATACAGTCACTAAATATACAGCAACAAAACCGTTTAGTTGGCATCACTGATGTGATTTAAATATGGCTGGGGTTTGTAGCGTAAAAACGTACTGTACATTTCCCATTTCCTCTTCATCAGATGATACTGATTTTCAAATCAGTATGAGCACTTAATAAAAATGGCCAAAAGTTCTCAAATTATTCCTTTTGATAGGACATTTTACTGATATTTCCATTACCTTCTTTATTTTTGTGAGGGAAATTTTCATTTTTATCTGGGAGAGTTTTGTCATTTTAACTCTCATAGAACAGGAATTCTGACATGTACATCTGGTGCAGAAGCCAATATGCCATGCCTTTCTAAGATTGATTTCAATTTGATTGAAATACATGGTCAATTAAATATTTGATCAACACTTGAATTTATACCTTCTTAATTACAAAGTCTTTTAATTTCCTTGAAAGATGTCATTATCCTTGGTATCATTAGACATAAAGTAGCTTTTTGTTTTACTCCAGACCAGCTGGTGGCAGTAATGCGTCTCACGTGTGTCTGTCAAGCAGCACAGGAACAACTGCTTGCTAAGGCCATGTGGTTCTTTGCTACAATTTTTTCACAATTGTTATTTTGGAGTTTTTTGTTTAGCTCCTAATAGCGGATACTCATTGAGCACTGTAACGTTTTAAGATATATGCAGTACCCCATTAATTTACGTGGGATATAGTACAGAATTAATTTCTAAAAAACGATGGCTGCACCAGCGCAAGGCGAAGACAGTGACGATACCATGGAGGAATTTATGGAGACGTTTAAAACACAGAAATACAAAAACGCGTTTAATGAAAGCAACTGGGAGGAGGTGAGAACTGTCACATTAGTAAAGTGCACTGGCAACAATATGTCACTACTGGTGAACATGAACAGGTTGACGTTCAAGCAGTGTGCTGTAACATTGCATTTGGCTGTCACCGCTTGTTATTCTATATAAATACGCGTTTGAAATCTTGCAGGAGTTTAATAAGGTGCCCATGTTTATGAAGACAGCCCCAGAAAACATAGACCCAGAGAAACACCCTGATCTCGCCTGCATTCAGTCTATTATCCATGATGATGACAGAACACCTGAAGGTGTGCGGAGCACTTTATTTCTTACATTCTCGTTGTTTTGATTGTTTCTTCATGTAAGCAACGTACCTCCCTCAAATGACAATTGAATACATTACAACTGAACCTTTTCTTTTTCTTCAGAGAAAGCCAGAGTTCTAAAGGATGAGGGGAATGAGTACTTTATGGAGAAGAATTATAAGAAAGCTGTAGTGTCTTACACCGAAGGACTGAAAAAGAACTGTATGGATATTGAACTCAATGCGATTTTGTACACCAACCGTGCAGCTGCACATTTCCATTTAGGTACAGTCACTATTCCCCAAACACACACAGGTCTATGTTAAAGTTGCCTTGCAAATGTCTCAGAAAGAATAATTAAGTTTTTCCTTTTTGATGTATGCAATTAACTATTTCCTCCAGGAAATATGCGTTCGGCTTTGAATGATGCCACAGCTGCAAAGAAACTGAAGCCAGACCACATTAAAGCCATAATCAGAGGTGAGTTGTGTATAGTTCTTAGAAAACAATTGTTTTTTTTTGTACAGAAAATAAATATGTACAAACTACATATATATATCTGTGTAATTTTTTTTGTGTATGTATTTAGGTGCACAGTGCTCAATGGAGCTGCGTAATTATGCAGGAGCATTGCAATGGTGTGATGAAGGTCTCAGGCTGCTTCCCACAGACAACAAACTACAGGAGCTGAGAGCCACAGCAGATAAACAGAAGGTAGAAAGGCCTGACAGGAAGATGTTGTTTTGGGTGAACTAATCCTTTAAATCCAGAATGGGTCACCCCAAAATGAAAATTTGCTGAAAATGTATTCCCCCTCAGGCCATCCGAGATGTAGATGAGTTTGTTTCCTCATCAGAACATGTTTGGAGAAATATAGCATTACATCCACCAGTTGATCTGGTGATCTGCAGTGAATGGGTGCCGTCAGAATGAGTCCAAACGGCTGATAAAAACATCACAATAAGCCACAAGTAATCCGCACCACAGTGCATCAATCTTGTGAAGTCTAAAGCTGTGTGTTTGTATTTAAAAAAATATTTTTTATTTTTTTTTAAACCGTATCTTCTGGCCAACATATCAGTTCATAACCCATAATAACACTTCCTCCAGTGAAAAAGTCCATCCCCTGTTATCCTCTCACATCAAAATCCACTGGCATATTTGTTTAGAACTGTTTTGTTTCGCTTGCAAACAGTGCTTGATTTGGGCATATTTCTCTCCTGATTCAGACAAGACAAATTTTTCACTGGAGAAGGCAATATTGTGGATAGAGGACTCATATTTTAACAGTCGAAACAGTTTGAAATTAAAAAACGTCTTAAGGATGGACTTGTTTATTGCAAACACGCAACTTTTCACTTTACAAGTCATAAATTGATGGCCTGGAGTTGTGTGGATTACTTTTCGATTATTGTGATGCTTTTATCACCTGTTTGGACTCTCATTCTGAAGGCACCCATTCACTGCAGAGGATCCATTGGTAAGAGATGTAATGCTGATTTATCCAAATCTGTTCCAATAAAGAAACAAACTCCTCAAGCCATCTAAGATGGCCTGAGGGTGAGTAAAATTTAAGCAATTTTTCATTTTTGGGTGAACTATTCCTTTAAAGCATTTAAGAATTTACAGAATTAATGTGATAAAGTGATTGTAATGTAAACATATTAATATTAAATTCCAGTTATTATAATTAAACTCTTAATTTTATTTGTTTGTAATTGTAAATTACCATCTTATTATTTGCAAATTTACTTATTCTTTCACTACCCAACTGTCTACATTTTTGTTTTATTTCAATCTCATTTGTTTTTTGCTGTGTGCTCCTGTGTTTAATGTATTTGTATTGTAGAGGGAAGCTGACAGAGATGCCAGAAAGGCAAAGGTTAAAGCGAAGAAGGAGCAGAATGAGAAAGAAGCATTGTTAGCTGCCATTAAGGTACTGAAGATGCAAAGTTTAATTATAAAAGTATTTTTTTAATACTGAGTTTTAAAAGAGTAAAATCTTTAATGGCTGTTTTTTACTTAGGAGCGTGGCATTAAACTTCTGAAGACCGAACCCTCTCAAAACAGGGGTTCGGACAGAGAGGATGATGATGGTGATGGAGGTGCATCAAGAGCCCTGGCTGATCTGGAGCTTGATGGAATCGGCTCGCAGGAAGCCACAGGAGCTCGTGTTTATATGGATGAGCAGGGAGTCCTTCACTGGCCAGTGCTGTTCCTCTACCCTGAGCACAGCCAGACGGACTTCATATCTGCTTTCTGCGAGAACTCCAGGTTTGTTAAAGAGTCATTATCAAAATGTGTATCCTTTATTAGGAAGGGAGGCCTAAATATTAAATTGCTTCTGGAATTTGATGTATTCTTTAAATTGAAAATCTGCATATAGATTTGATTTTTATAATCACTCATTTTGTGTTGTTCAGCTTCATGGACCATTTGGCAGTTATGTTTGGTGAAGAGCTTCCCCCCTGGGATTCAGAAAGAAAATATCAGCCTCAAAATCTACAGGTCGGTATACAAAGAAATCTACAGAGACAAAAAGAACACCACTGGTGGACACCTTTTTGATCCATACCCATCCTCTGATGCTAGAATTTAAATTAAATGTGATTCCAAGATTCCAAACGTTTTTTTTTTTTCCAGCTGTTTCTTGAGAATCCTGAAAAAGGAAACTTTTATCAAGTTGATCTTGAAAAGTCACTTCTTAACATTCTTCAGCACCAAAGGTATTTCAGAGGAATTTCTTCTAAGTAGTTTTATCACTGCTTGAATAGGTCTCTGATGTTTTTCTCTATATATTTTGTTCTTTCCAGGTGCTCTGTGAAGGCAGGGACACCGAGTTTCATTGTGCTGGTATCAGGCTCGCCATTCTCTAAGCAGTTTTTATCAGAAAAAAAGGTCCAGAGATTGAAATGATGTTCTGCTTGCACCTTAAAAGACTTTAAATGCCTTGACTATAAATCACCCTCCTGCTATTAAGGACATTTCTGCTCACCCCACCCCTTGAGAAAACTCAAAAAGATTGAGGCAGAACTTTGAAGTGGATTTCTTTTGTGGCAACGTCAATGATTCACCTTAAAAGCATGTACCATCCCAACCCCCAATCAGTTTCGAGGGGGAAAATTTTCAGATTATTTTTAGATATTGCAGTATTTAACTCTGCATTTTTACCATTGCTCATGTCGTTCCAAACCGGTATGACTTAATTTCTTCAGCGGAACACAAGAAAATATTAACATTTGAGACCTTTGTCTTCCATTTGTATTGACAGAAAACAATGAGACATTTCTTAAAATATCTTTCATGTACCACAGAAGAAGGTGAGTCATATGGTTTTGAAATGTGATGAGGGTGAATAAATGACAACACAAGTCATTTTTAGGTGGAGTATTGCTTTAAGAAAGCTTTCTGTTATGATAAAATAAACTAGACTCAAAGATGTTATAGCCTTTCAGACAACATTAATAACCAGTGCTGGACTGATTTATTGTTTACTGTTTAATGCAGACCTCATTTACTGAGCTTTAATTCAACCACATAAAACAATCTGATTTAAATAAAAATATATTCATGATGAAATTGAGTTGCCATATGGTTCCAATAAGCCGTACTTTTATGATATTTATAATGACATTTTTTATTACAAGAGATATTAGCACAATTTAAATTAGGCTTTTGTTATTGACAGCAGCATTCAAGCTGACATGAACCACACATTTGTGTAAAACTTGTGTTGTCCAGCGTGATTTGAGAATGTTGAGAGGTTCACATGATCAATTTCACAAATTTGCTTATTTTATTAGTGACCCAGAAATGGTGCAGTATTTATTCAATGTTTTAATCAAAAGTTTTTATTTTATTTTTAAAATCCTATTTTATAAATGTAAAAAAAAAAAAGTCCCAGGTTTTCAATGTGGTCTCAGGCTTGTGAACCCCATAGTACATCTCCAGGCTTAAACAGTTACTCCTTGTTTAACTGGCTCTTTATGCTTTTTGGCATGTGCTAGAGGGAAAACAATGCCATGAAGACAACAATCCAAAACAACTTTTTGGACTTTAACACCATAGTAATACATTTAGAATTTTAGAACACATTTCCCTTGTCCATCGCTCAGCATTACCAAAAGTGAATACCTCTATTTGAAATGAGTAGCTTTATTGTTAATTCCGCTCTTAACATGCATAACTCATGGACATCACATAATTGCCCATCAGAACATTATCTGGAGTCCCTTCCCATTGTTCCACAGACTCTTTCAAATAGACATGGACCTTCCCATTGAGAACCTTTTCCCTTGTGGCTGTATGCTCTTCAGCAACTTTCTGACCACTTCCAACCTCCCCTTCCTCACCAGATCTTTTGAGAGCTCTGTCACCTCATCTGTGTGTGCTCGGCACAGAGCCTTCAACTCAGTCTGAACAACATTTGCTCCATATCGCTCTTCCGCCTGCTTTAAACATTCCTCTAATTGGATAATAGCATGACCTGTGTCGTTCCCGCTCTGGGTGAAGCTCACTAGAATAGCCTGTAGCATGCAGCGCAGGACTGCCGTGTCTTGGATGCTGGGAGGTTCCAGTTCAAGTGCTTTCCTAAAACAGTCAATGGCGTTCTGCTCCTCTCCTTTCAGCAGCAGGCAGCGACCCCGCAGGAGCTGTAGTTTAGAGATTGTAGAGCCCAGAGGACACTGCAGAGCTCTAGCTAGACTGACCAGGGCCTGGTTTATCGCCATCTCATCGACCAACAGGCTCTCCTGCAGGGCGTCCACACCCATGTAGTAGTAAACCTGAGAGAAGGGGAGAGATGAAGGCTCTTAAATTATTAACTATATTAGTAGTAGTTAAACCATATACATATACAAGGCTGCATTTATTTGATGCAGTAAAAACTGTAATACTGTGAAATGTGTTCTAATATGGTGATTTGTTGCTCAAGAAACTTTATTCATCAAGTATTATTTATCAAATTGATAAAAAGTGATAGTAAAGATAATAAAGCCTTATTTAGCATAAGGGACTTATTCCAAACTTTTGACCATAGTGTATGTTTTATGCACTCATAACTACCTGACCCATCTCCAAATGAGTCCTCAAGCAGGGTCGCACAGCCAGAACACGTTCTAGGTCAGCACGGGCCTCTTTCAGAATCTGACGGTCAGGAATGCCACCTTGGCCACACTTTGCTTTATCAAGATCTTTTGCATATATGGTAACACCAAGCTGGAGAAAAAGTTTCAGATGGCAAAGAATACAAATTTTGAGGAACATTAAAACTATTAAAAACAAGATTAGGAAAAGAAAAAAAAAATAGTGGGAAGAAATTAAAATCAACTGGAACCAAAAATTATTTGAGTTTGTTTTAGATAATAAAACAATTGATACTGTTCAAAATAAATTTTCTGGTTGTCAAATGTTACACCTGTAGTAACTCTGCTAGGAAGGACACCTGTGTAAATGTACAGAGCCTTTAAGGGGACTTGGTGATTTAAAAAAAAAAAAATGAAATGGGAGGAAAGTTGTATTGCAATGCTTTTGTGTTCGCTCACAAATCTTTTGCACTCTCTCGCAAAAAGTATTTGTTTGCTAGAAAATACACTGAAATTGAGTTTTTCTTTCCACCTTATTTTAGTTCCATCGCAAAAGTTTTGCAAGCGAACACAGAGTGGAATACATTTTTGAGAAAAGCTTTTAAATGTTTTTTTTTCTTTTTCTTTTTCTTTCTCAGCATGTCCCTTTAGGGGCTCTGTATGAATGTGAACTCATGTAATACACTAACATTCCAGCCAATTAAAGGAAGAAGTTCTAACATAATTGTTTTTTAGATAAAATAAAACCCACACATAGTGTCCATACATTTTGGGGCAACTTTTTTCATGAGTCACAAAATGGGTGTTTCTTTATCTTTGCAGGAGCAGGTGTTTTTGTCATCCTAATTTATCCTATGGTACTATTCAAAGATAGGTTATAAAAAATAAACAAATACACCGCTAATGCAACATATTCAATGTCTGTGAATGTATTCATCTACAGGCACATGTAAAAAAACAAACAAAAAAAACTGGTAATCAAGTATTTTGCTTACCTTGGCGCGAATGCAGTATGCCTGCCAGTTGAGTTCTGCATCAGGCAGGACACTCAGGGCCATGTTACAGATACCTGTGGCCATCTCCAGTTTGCCTGACAGGAAGAACACGTTTGCTAGCCTGTTGAGTATGAATGCATCATCCGTGGCGAGCTTAATGGCCTGTGGAAATCAGCGGTGAGAACAAATCTAATCATTTAGAGCCTTTTACACTTCATTATTATTCACATAGTCATGGTATTATTAGCTTTAATGCATCAGCATGTCAATTTGTCAGCCTATGTTTAATCATATCAAACATAAGCCTAAGCACATCTTTCTAACACCTGCGTCAAGAAGTTACACAAGTTACACGTCACACCCATACATGTTGTGGCTACAGAGGAAATGTGTGCCAATAATCTCAAGACTGGAATCTGATCTATTAGCTTGACCACAATATGACATTCTACATTTTTCCAGGGCTGAAATACAGTACCGATCCGTAACATGTCAAAGGGTCAGATCCAGAGAACCCACAGTCATGGACTGACATTGGCACAGTGGAGAACTCCTCCGTCCGCTCCAGCATGAGACCAACATAACACCAGCCCATTGCTAGAAAATAGAGAAGAGATATACAAAGACATTGTCTTAATGATTCCTTGACATCTGAGATCTGCTAGAAGACACTGATAAGAGGTCATAAAAGAGCCAAGCGTGACATGTAGAAACATAAAACCGGAAAGATTGGTCTGTGTCACTGTGCCAGTGAATATATTTTTGCAGTTTTGATGCATACTAGTCTCTTTTGTATGAAGCCCCACATGACAAATTAATCATCTATTCCCACATTCCCACAAATTTGTTACCTAAATGTATTAATTCATTCCCTCATTTTTGGTAATTTGTGGTCACATTGTACAAATTTGTTCCCCCATTTTATTTAAATTGTGGCCATGGTTTAGCTATATTAAAAACAAGGGACACAATTAATACAACATGGCAACGATTTACCTAAAACGCAGGAAGAAATTAATAAGTTGTAGGGATGATTTAACTAAATCGAGGGAACTAATTAATAAAATGTAAAATTGTAAGAATAAATTCTTAATTCATGGCCACAAAGCTTCATATTTTTGTATTACACAAAGTTGCAAAAATGCAATTATGAAAATATAAACATATATATCACATTTGGAACTTCATATCCAATATTTGCCACACATTTGCATTATTTGGACACTGGATCTCGCAACTGGGAGCCTCTGAAGACTATAATCAGTCCTTGATCTATGGTATTATCTATATGAACATGGGGGCTGACTGTGTTTATTGCTGCTTTAAACATCTTTATCATATCTACTCTATGAAAATTACCTTTGAGATGTGTGTTGTCGGATTTTAGAGTCTCTGTGAGAAGCTTGAGGCCCTTGTTGAAATAGTTCAGTCTTGTGAGGTCAATGTCTATCGAATCCTTTACAATTCCATCTAACCTATTAAAACAAACAAACAAAGGTTATGATAAGTCTATTATCGTTTCAGTTCATTATAAGCAATGTCTGAGTTGCCTCAAATGCTTAGATAGGCAGTAAGATGTTTGATGATGTTAACAGGTAAATGTCAAAAATCCTTATGTAAATACCTTATGTAAATTGTTGCCATTTTGAAATACCAACTTCTTTTTTCCTCTATTGGTATCTGTCAGAAATAAAAGAGCAGAACAAAGTTAACTACACATTAAAAAAAGTATTTTAAAATAGGGTCCAATGTACTGTTTTAATAAGATATTAATATTTATTCCTTTTTAATACTTATCATTTTTAATACTCATTTTAATAATCTGATATTCTCATAAAATATTAGATAATTTGACCTTTTTATAACAAGCCAAGTTTAGTATATGTTATATCATATGGTATGACTATCCCAAAAATGTAATGATACTGTATGTACTGTATTGTACATAAGAATATGTGGTGAGCTCACCAGTTCCTCTCCATAATCGAGTGCGCGGTTGTATAACATCAGCGCGGCTGTCAGTCTCTCTTGTAAATCTTCGTCTCTCTCCAGCTCCACATCATGAGGATGTGTGTACGCCTGTTCAGCCAAGCACCGTGCTACCCTGAGCCTGCAGTCTGTCTGGTTCTCCCCCATCTCTGGCCCCATAAGGGCAGCCACACGTTCCATGCACTCCCCTTCCTCCAGCTCGCGGCCCAGGCGTTCATATACGTAACCCAGGTTGGCCCAGGCATTGAGGTTTTCTGGATCCTCTTGGCAGATGCTGCGAAAGGCCTCTTCTGCCGTCTCCAGTTCGTCTACATGGAAGGCCAGCAGGCCCAGCATATTACGCACAGCATACTGCAGTCGTCCCGTCTCAGCTTCAAGCTCAGCCCTGAGGCTCTCGCATTTGAGCTGGGTGTCCCGGTGCCGAAGGGTGACTGGTCCATTGGGTTCACCGTTCAAATTCAGCTCCAAATGAAAGTGGCCAGGGATGTAGGCCATCCCCTCAATCAGAGACTCAATGTCTTCTTCTGTGCTGTCCTCCATTGTCCCCACACACTTACTGACAATGCCTGACTAAGACAGAACAACTTATATGTGGGACAAGAAATACAGGTTTGAAGAGGAGGAGAAATGAGACATGAGTAAGGAAAGATGGTAATCGTGTGCTTTCTTGCTTCCTGTAACAGGTTTCTCCACCCCGACACTGTGGTTTTTACATTAACTATGGTAATTTCAAAGGACAACATGGGTGTTTGCTTCAGGAACTGTGTAAAGAATGAGTCTTACATTCTGAATTTGAGTGACACACCTTGGTATCATGTAGGGTTTGCCATAGCCATGAATTGGCAAAACAGAACACCATTTTAAATACTGCCAGTTGTGAAAGAAATCATGCAATCCTCTGCATGTAAGATAACATT